ACGGAGCCGTGACCGCCTCTCCTCCTCCCCCTTCGCCCCTGCAGGAGGACGGGCAAGCCCGGCGGAGGAAGGAAGGAAGGAAGGAGGCGCCGCCCGAGAGGAGAGGAGGCCCCGCGGAGCAGCCCCGGGAGGAGACGGCGGGGGAGGCCCGGCAGGGATGAGCCGAAGGGGACTCCGGGAAAGGAGGCCGCCTGGAGGGAGAAGCGGGGAGCAGGAAACGGGCGGAGACCCCGAGACGGGCCTGGAGGGCGGAGGGTCCTTCGGGACAGGCGGGAGACTCCGGAATCCCCAGAGAATCCAGGAGGGAGGAAAGAAATATCAGTGCCCGGAATGTGGAAAATCCTTTAAAACAAATGGAGATCTTAAAATCCATCAAAGGATCCACACAGGAGAAAAACCATTTAAATGCCTGGAGTGTGGAAAGAGCTTCACTCAGAGGGGACACCTTTATAATCATCAAAGAAGTCACACAGGAGAGAAACCATATAAATGCCTGGAATGTGGAAAAAACTTTGGTCGGAGGAGCAACCTTTATGAACATCAAAGAATCCACTTAGGAGAAAAACTGCATAAATGCCTGGAGTGTGGAAAAAGTTTCAGTCAGAGGAGCAGTCTTTATGTACATCAACGGATCCACACAGGAGAGAAACCGCATAAATGCCTGGAGTGTGGAAAAAGTTTCAGTCAGAGTAGCAGTCTTTATGTACATCAACGGATCCACACAGGAGAAAAACCGCATAAATGCCTGGAGTGTGGAAAGAGCTTCAGATATAGGAGCCACCTTTATGTACATCAAAGGATCCACACAGGAGAAAAACTGCATAAATGCCTGGAGTGTGGAAAAAGTTTCAGTCAGAGGAGCAGCCTTTATATACATCAAAGGCTCCACACAGGAGAAAAACCGCATAAATGCCTGGAGTGTGGAAAGAGTTTCAATCAGAGTAGCAGTCTTTATGTACATCAAAGGATCCATACAGGAGAAAAACCGCATAAATGCCTGGAGTGTGGAAAGAGCTTCAGACATAGGAGCAACCTTTATGTACATCAAAGGATCCACACAGGAGAAAAACTGCATAACTGCCTGGGGTGTGGAAAGAGCTTCAGTGAGAGGGGACATCTTTATGTACATCAAAGGATCCATTCAGGAGAAAAACTGCATAAATGCCTGGAGTGTGGAAAGAGTTTCAGTCGGAGGGACAGCCTTTATATACATCAAAGGATCCACACAGGAGAAAAACTGCATAAATGCCTGGAGTGTGGAAAGAGTTTCAATCAGAGTAGCAGTCTTTATGTACATCAAAGGATCCATACAGGAGAAAAACCGTATAAATGCCTGGAGTGTGGAAAGAGTTTCAGTCGGAGGGACAGCCTTTATGTACATCAAAGGATCCACACAGGAGAAAAACTGCATAAATGCCTGGAGTGTGGAAAGAGTTTCAATCAGAGGGGCAGCCTTTATAGACATCAAAGAATCCATTCAGGAGAGAAACCATATAAATGCCTCCAGGGTGGAAAGAGCTTTACTGAAAGTGGAAGTCTTTGTAAACATAAAAGAATTCACACAGGAGAAACTCTATGAATGCCTGGAATGTGGAAGGAGCTTCAACAGGGCAGGAACTCTTTATAATCAAACCATTCACACAGGAGAAAAACCATATGTCTGGAGTTTGGAAGGTGTGAACAGTTACCTTTCATTGCCATCTCATCCTTTGTGTGTCAACATGAGTGTGTAATGTATTCTGATCCAAAACACTCAATTATGGACAGCACCATTTTACTCTTCCCTTTATCGCTACTCTCTGTTTAATGATTCTGCTGTTCTGTGATGCCTAATAGTTGAATTTGAATAACTTTACACACTTTTCAAGGGGTGCGTAATCTCCTGAGTACAAGTGTATTCAATTCCACAAACTCATAATCACAATTTCTTCTGATTGGTGAGATTTCAACTTGAGATCCAGAAGCTGCTACTGGAATGTTCTGAAGAAACTTTCCAATTTCCATTGTGCCCACGGTTCTTTCCTTGGGCCTGGAAATCAGAGCGTTCCCTCCTGGGTTAATTCTTCCCTTGAAATTAGACTCTCGCCCCTTCTCTACCTTTTGGCCCACTCCCTCCTTCCACACAGAGAACAAACTGCACTCTTGGTTATTAATGAGCCAATTCAACCTTTTCTCTCCTTTTTGCCTCCCACCTGATCCTTAGTGCTACCTTTGCTCTCTGCTTAGCAATTCGAGTTATGCCGGCCGTAACTTTTGCCTCCTGTGAAGACCTCTGTGTTGCACTTTCTTGTAACTTTAAATGATAACTTTGTAATATGGAAGGTTTCTGCCTTAGCATCCACGTGCTTGTAACTTTCTAACTTCAAAACAAGGGACTCTCTCAGGCTGAATAGCCAAGGACTTTTTCAGTTGTACATGCTAGAGGTTTCAGCTGGCCGAAATTGTATCTTTTCTCAACAGATTTAAGTGGCTCAAGATGCCTTTTCCCATGGGAACGTTCTCCTTTTAATATAGTGGTTTTAAATGGTTATGTTATTATGGGATGTTTCACTTACTGTCCATGTTTCTGAATGTAACAGGATTTCTTCCAACTATTCTTTTGTACTTTTTCTATTGTATGTGTCCTGTGTTTTTGTAAGATTAATAAGTTGCCTTTAAATGATCTTCTAATTTGAACAAGTGGCACAATCTAGGTGTCTGACCTGCCCCAACTGGGTCCCTTAGGAAGGAAAGATCTTCAACTTCATTGGATTGGAGCAAAAAGTGCCTCTGCTAGAAACCAATTCTGGGCTTCTCTGAGCTTCATCGCCTGTCATTTCCCCCCTACCTGTTTCCCATCACGAACAAACATTGTCCATTTTTCCACCCCAACCTCCCATGTCCCTCCAGATGGCAGGAACTGGCAGGACCTGACACGGGGGCTAATTTGGCCTTCATTGTTGGGGATGTGACCGAGCTCCTCCCTGTCATTGTTTGATATAATCTAAATGGGTTTTCCAAAGGTCAGCGCCATCTAAGACCATCCCCAGATATCTGAAACTCTTGTATATCGGATGCTCTCAATGGTCCCCTCGTCTTTAAAGCTTTTTAGCAGAAACAGGAGATTCTCTAAGGCCAACAAAGCTTTATGAGATACGATCACTTGCAGAGTCCTGGATGCAGGGTCATGAAAGGACAGCAAGGAAAACACCCAATGTCCTAACTCACCCGAGAACATATGATGTCTTTAGGGAAACACCCAAAAGGGAACATGTTTAGCTACTTCTGCTTTCTCCCTTCTTAGCTACAGTGTGCCAGACTTACTGGGTGAAATCTTTATCTTATGTGTGTCAGCTTTGCTGGATGGGTTGCTTATGTAATTAGAAAGAATAAATACAAGGATTTCTTGTCATTCGGGGCTCCTCTCATTTAGAGGAGTCCGTCTCTATTCAGCT